GAGCATTCACGGGAAATTGCTTTTGGCTTCTACTTCCCTGAAGGTCAGGTGAGGTGTGTTGACCCCAGTGACCCTGAAGATGGAACAATCTTGGTTCCTAGGAGATGAACTGGAGAAGAGGGCTAGTGACCGAGCCTGGTCTTGGTCAGTGATGGTGAACAGAGAAGAGCTTCCAGCCACTCCTAATTCCAGACCTTGCAACTTGCGAAGAAAGTCATCTTCAACTTTGTTGAGGAGCTCTGGTGAATGCCCCCCAACTCGGCTCTTCGTGGGCGTGGGGCAGCGGCTGTTCACTGAATGCACGAAAAATTTAATGCCGGATAAATCTTGTGCTTACCTTCTGTGTCTCAGAACCTACAACTTCAGTAAGTAATGGTGGCAGCCATCTGCTTCCTCCACTCCCTCTACTTTACTCTCTTCTTACCTACCCACAGGGAAGCTCTGGCACCTCTGAGAACCCGAAGTGCTGCGCTTACGCGTGTCCCCAGCAACTTCCTCCTGTCCCCCAGGAACTCTCTGGCCAGCCGCCCAGCCCTGGGTCGGGCTTTGGAGACTCCAGCATGCAGACAGCCTGTTCGGACACTCAGCTCACCCCACGCACACCTGGTTTTTTCCTGCCAAGCGATACCGCTGACATTGGTGATGTCACCAGTCACCCTAGCCCCCAAAAGAGGAAAACAAACTGACAATAGCCACCAACACCACCAAATCTGGAGTTCTGGGACCCTCAGTACCGTTTGCACACGAAGGGGCGTGGCCCCGGGACCCAGGCGTGGGAGCCAGAACTATTCGCTGCTGGCAGTAGCGCAGCCTGTCGCCAAGGTCCTGACTCGATCGGGTCAAGTCGTCGCGGGGCGGGGCGGACAGGGCAGTGATTTAAGAGGCGCGGCCTTGGGACAGGAGGACCCGCACCAATGGAGACCGCCAGGGACTACGCGGGAGCCCTCATCAGGCGAGTGCTGCCCATGTACCCCTGCGCCCGGGTCACCCTTCTGTCCGAGTACTCTGCTTGTTTCCATTTCCTCTGCTCCTCAGTTCCTCCTGAGCCCCAAGTCACCATCTCCCCGTGCGTTCCCATAAACCCCGAGCTCCTCCTCCCTCTTACTCCCCATCGGCCACCCCGGGGCTCTGCCCCCTCGGCTGTAGTCCCCGTGCCAGTCAGCACCGCCAGGCCTGTTCCCACTCTCGCCAACCAGCGCCCACGAGCCCAGCAGCCAGAGATTCCTCCCGAAAAGGGCTACAGGTGCCCGGTGGGGCGCTCCCGAGGTGCGTGGGAGTCCACAAAACAAGTGACAGTGGTGAACGCGGGGGTGGCCTCATTCTGTTGCAACTCCTACAGGAGATGAGGTACTGGGAACCCTGCAGTGTCTGTGCTGGACAGGGCTTTTTGGAGGGATAGGAGGACGTACAGACTTAAGTCCTCCGGGTGAGTGCAGACTCTACCTATGGGGGAGGGGTGCTGGATTAACTCAGGTTTTGAAGGGGTAGTTTTGATTCCCAGCCAATCCCATGTCTAGGCCTTTCTCCAACCCACTGGTACCACTCCCCTTCGGTTTATCCCTATATGCTGATAAAACATTCTGGTTCTTGGTAATATCCTAGACAGTATGAGAGTGTGTGTCTGGATCTACATCTGTGTAAGAAAGAGACAGAGACGCTGGGCGGTGGTGGCGCACGCCTTTAATCCCAGCACTTGGGAGCCAGAGGCAGGCGAATTTCTGAGTTCGAGGCCAGCCTGGTCTACAGAGTGAGTTCCAGGACAGCCAGGGCTACACAGAGAAACCCTGTCTCGGAAAAACCAAAAAAAAAAAAAGAAAAGAAAGAAAGAAAGAAAGAAAGAAAGAAAGAAAGAAAGAAAGAGAGAGACAGAGACACAGATAAATGCTAAGTCAAGAGACTTAGAGGCACAGAGACAGGGAATGAAAGGCAGACAACGAGAATGAGAAACAGGGAGACAAAGAATAAGATACAGAGAGAAGGAATTGGAAACAGAGAGAGAAAGAAAGACTGACAGGCATACAGGGTCTCCCTATAAGGCCCAGCGTAGCTTAGAACTGGCTGTATAGTCCAGGCTGGTCTCGAACTCACAGTCCTCTTGCCTCTGATTCTGTAATCCTGATGACTGGCTTTCAGAGTCAAGGCCAACTAGCTGCAGAGCAGTGACTTTACAGAACAGGTTAAACAGTGAGATTTTGATTCTCTACAGATGGTGAAAGTACTGCAAAAGGGTGTAGAAACCCAAGTGCATAAAAATACGGGGCCCACCATGACAGACCTCACTGCTTATCTCTTTGCAGAGAAATGTGGGAAGAACCGGGTCACCAAACTTGGATGCTCTGGCAGCTTATAAGACAGGGACATAAGGGAAACTGTCAGTTCACAAGGTCAGACTGGTAGCCACCGAAAAGAAAGAAAGAAAAAAAAAGGGTTGGTCTTCCTCAATGGTTCCTGCTTCCTCTTGAAACAAATAAAGACTCTGGGAGACGGGGGGATTTGTAAAGGCTCCCAAATAACATGGTATCCTACCTATCCGCAGCAGATGTGTGGGTAAAACATCAATGTTTAATCGGGGCGGACTGTGGGGAGGACCGTGGGGAGGACCGTGGGGCAGCCTCACAGCATGAGAAAAGAAGCTCTGCCAGATTTCTTCATTCCTCCTGCAGCCTTCCCTTCAGCTCCTCCAGTTTCCTCTGCTCCTGTCTGTGCTTGTCCTGGGAAGCCTTATTTTCCCCCATCATCTTGTCCTGATGTTCAGACTGGTCGGGGAACAGAGACTGCTTTTTGCCATCTTTACAGCTAAACATGGCATCTGCTCTTGCCAACACTTTCAAGCTCAAGGACAAGAGCGGCAGTCCTGGGGTTCTTTTACCCTTCTTCAGGGCCTGAGGTTTACAGATGTTAGCCTTCACTAGGCAGTATCATTTTGTCTTAGAGTGGGAGGCATGGCGGCTGGGCTTATCCTTGGGTCTGATCATGACATCATTTACTGAAATCCAGAATGTACCTGGGTGAGGTCTCCATGGTGTCGTGTGGGAGGTGGAAGTGACTCAGTAAATCAAAACACTGGAGAATATACGATCTATGACTCCCTGCCTTGCAACCTGACAAGTCCCAGGAGCTCGCGGCTTTTTATTAGTGACAAACTTGCTTCAGTTCTCAAAAAAGTCTGCCTACTTCCAAACCAGCCTGCTCTAATCCTTTGGCATGACTTGATTCCAAACAAAACTGGAAGAAAACAACCTATAATACTTGTTGGCTGAAGGAAAAGAAAAAAGTTCCCCCCTTCCCCACCCCTCTTTAAAATCCTATCCAGGCTAAAGAGCCACAGGCAAGGCCTACTGTTCATTGTGGTCTTGCTGTACTTCTGTTTCCTGTCTGAATTTAAACAGCCCAGCACAGTACACTGTAGTTGCAATTCATTAGCCTATTCCTGGATTCTGCCAGGGAGGTAACTTTATCAATAAACACCGTATGAAAAAGATACTTGTTCTGAGGATGTGTCTCAATAGTAGAGTAAGTCCTCACGGAGGAAGCCCTGGGGTGAAATGGGAGGGAGAGGATACTTGTAAACAATTTTGAAGTCTTTGAGGCAGGAGGAATAGTTCAGGGGTAAGAATGCTTGCTGCCTAAGACTGAAGACCTGAGTTCAGATCCCAGCTCTGCATGTAAAGCCAGGTCTGGTCACAGGCACTCAGAATCCCAGACCTGTGAGAGATAGAGACAAGAGGGGGCTTAGGGGCTCATTGGCCACCAGCCTAGCTCCAGGTTCAGCAAAAGACCGTGTCTCAAAGGCATGAAGTGAGAGGATGATAAAGCAGGACACTGTGTGTCCTCCTCCGGCCCCTGTGTGTGCTCTCGGGTGCTTGTACGCCCAGTGCATTCACACAAATTACAAATTCTTCTTTAATGGTTTTTAATTTTTTTTTATTTGTGAGCACATGTGCACACTATAAGTGTGTGGAATGCCTGAAGAGAACAAAAAGATGTTTAGGATCCCCTGGAGCTGGAGTTACAAGTAGTTGTGAGCCACCCACCTGATGTGGGGGCTGGATACTCAACACTCAACTACTGACTCATCTCTCCAGCCCTGACTGCAGGTCCTGAAACAGCTTGTTGACAAACCTGTAACTGCTGGAGACCTTGGTAATAAGGAAAGAGGCTGGAATCTACTAGTGAAACCCTAGATATTTATAGGTGTTTATTATCACAGACAAGGTCTACTTTGGCCAAACTCCAAAGCTGTTACAAGGCTGATACTTACCCTGAGAGGCCAACATGAGCACTTGTAACTATTTAGGAGATTCTCTATGGTTGGGCACTGCTCAGTGGTACAGTGAACACTTAGCAAGTCTGATACCAAGGGCTCCACTCCAGTACCATTCAACAAAGAATCAGAACAGCTTCCCTTTTGTAAGAACTTGGTTTGACAGCTGCTCTCCCAGCTCAGAATTTATCCTGGCTTCACTGGTGACATTAGAAAGACAGTAAGTTTGCTACAGACAAATCTCCCATTTTTCGGTTTCTGGGACCAAATTTCCTTTTACAATAATGTTGCAAAGAGTCCAAGGGCTTCAGTCTGTGGTCTATGTTTTTATAGTAAGCATTCTGTCATGTCTCAAGAAGAGATGAACAGCTGTGTTCAGACTTGTGGGCAAGCATGCTCCAACTGTGTGTGCTACCTACAAGGAGCCATGTGGCAAGCTCGGTGATGGGAAGCCTGATTTGCTGACACTTGCCATTGGGCCCTAGGACTCTTGGACTCCACCCTACAATAAGGAGATCCCTCTCTAAACCTGATGGGCACCTGCAGAGCCTCATCTCTTTCCGTTTGCTGGTGTTTGACCTCACCATTGCCTACCCTAACATTCTCATATATTCTTGTCCTGTAGTGTTTGGCTGACAAAGTTCTGTTCTTTACTTCCCTTATATTGTATTCTTCATTTTCTGAATAACAGTGAATTGCACAGCAGCTATGGCTGATCCTGAACAGCCTCTATCACTAGTAACACCAATAGTAAGCTGGCCTCTATACCCTCGGCATCGGCCTCCAAGGATCCAACCAACTGCAGGGGGACAAAAGGTGATTGATTAATCTTGTTGGAAAAGGAGGTTCATTGATTCCCTTTCTTGATACCAAGATTAGATGCTCCCATGTAGCCCAGGTTGGTCTCAAATTTGTGATCAGCCTGTTTCTGCCTCTTCAGGTACAGAGAGTACAGTCATTTTGTACCACCTGGGGTGAATACCACCTGAGAGTACAGGTGTAAACCACATGATGGTACAGATGGGTAGCACCTGAGGATGCAGGTGTGTACCACCTGAAATTGCAGGTGTGTACCACCTGAGGGTGCAGGTGTGTACCACCTGAGGGTGCAGGTGTGTACCACCATCTCTGGCTCTTGAAAATATCTGTATTCCTCAGTTGCACCTGTGGAGACATGGTCTGTCCCACTATGCTATCTGGTAGATCAGCTACTTGCATTGTGCTTGGTAAACTCAGTAATGTAGAGGTGATCAAAATATTCAAGAGGATGTGTTAGGCTCTACAGACATTACATCTTATAAAGGGACTTGAGCATCTGTGAATTTGGGGATACTGGGGCTCCGGGGACCCACCTCCTTGGGATACTGAGAGACAGCTGTATTGCTCTTCAAGACCTAGTTCTGGGGCCTGTCCTCTAGCACTTTCAGGAGAGACATCAGCCCATGGGTAGCATACAAAGAAAGCTTTTCATGGACTTCCAGAGTGTTCCGTGTAGAATGGTGGGTGAGGCCAGTGGAGCAGGTGGTAAAAGAATTTACCAAAGACAAAAAGGACAGAGAATTGGTCACAATAGCTACAAAGATTCCCCAGGGAGCCCCTAGAGCCTGTGAGAGAATAGACCCTCTCACAGTAGTTGAGGGGAGTTACTTAGTCTTGTCTTGTGGGCCCTTGGTATGTGGCTCCAATCT